AAATTCATTTAAAAACATTAACTAATTACTGAATAAAGAGGGAATTGCGTTCATGTAATTCTGGATGGTTTAATACAGAGACAGAAGAATTCTTTTTCGATATGAAATGGAAATATTAATGAAAGTGCGATAAATATTGAAATAATGGGTTTCGAATGTCTGTTTTCTGATAGAGAGAGTGTCAAATAAATTAATTGTAATTAATTGTTTTTTCCCTGTCTGCAGACAGAGCATTTTTTTAAAGAGAAGAATTTTGAAAAAAAGAATTTTTTTTTCACTGAATAAAAATGTCTAGTCCAAATGATAAAATTTCTCATTTCTTTTTTCTTGTTCAAACAGAATATCAAAAAGCTCGGTAGTTTTTTTTTTTACAGAAGTGTTTTGCTGATGACTTTGGTAAAATTAACAATAAAATATGGCTTTATAATGCGTGATAAAATTTGGTAATTTTATCAATATCTAGAGTATGGCATAGAAACCATTCATTCTGTTAAATTTACTTTTCAGTTTGTTTTTTTTTATTAGATGTGTGGTAATAAAAACTATAATTTTGAATATCAGAATTTTCTATAAACCTTTACCATTCGAACGGAAAAAAACGAAATGAATGGTTTAAGTACGGTATAGTTCGTTTTTATTAACCAAAATTATTGTCAAAATAGAAATGGTAGAAAAGTCAATGAATGGTCAAGGCAGAAATGTCATTACTACACAATAATTTTATCAGAACTTTTTTCTCCGTGTGATGAGATTAGCTAATGGTTGCATGCAATATCTTAACAATATTTCAAAATATATTTATAAGATATTTATAAATATTTTGAAATGGTATTGGGATCATGTTTTAAGCCAATCACCCCAACATAAATGAATTAAAATAATTACAAATGTCTTATTCACTAAAATTTAGCAATGGATAATAGCCTCTTAAATTGGAAAATGTTTCAGAGAAACATTCATATAATAACAGTATTTTGCAATTATATCACTACATACACTGAAAAGGGCATAAAAATTAAACATTCCTGCTATTTCTGAATACTTCTGATTTTTACTTCTGAATTAAAATCTGATTTTAAATAATATTTTCTGATGTGAATGATTTATTATTTAAACTGATTTTTAATTCTTAATTTCATTGACAACTATATTCTATAATAAATTTAATACATTATGCATAAAAGTTTTAAAGTCATTACCGTTTTTGAATTTTTAAAAATTCGTGTTAAAAAGTTTTATTATTTAAGCTATCATTTGTGAAAATTAATTTACAATGTTACAGCTAAAGATTAAATCGTACATTCATACATATCGTACATATATATACAATCGTACATATGTATTATATTTTTAAAAACCCTTGTTAAAAACTGTATCGATTGAACTATTATTTGATTAAATTAGCTTATAATCCTAAAATTAAATTTTAAATTGTAAAATATAAGACATATTTATAATTTTATAAACGCTTGTTAATATTTATACTGTTTGAAATTAAAATTATTATGTGCGTAGAAGTGAAGAAAGACTAGCGAACATTATCAATAAACATAAAATAATCAAATTCTCCTTTAATCGGAAGAACGTACTTTCCTTTATCAGGTAAACAAAATGATAATGAGAGGAAAATGAAAAGGATAAGAGTGAAATTTACATGCGGACGAAGGGAAGGAAAAAAAAATACAAGAAAAGTGAATTTGGAAAAAAAAATGAAAAAACAATAATTAGAGGAGAGAGAGAGAGAAAAGGGAAAAAAAGGAAAATGAAAAGAATGGAGCGAATATTGGAATAAAATAATTTAAACAAGTTTTTCCAAGCAGTTTCATGAAAATAAAATAAACAATATTGGATTGTTAAGAAATATAAATTTAATTTACTCTTTTAAACCCTTACATTATTTATGTTTTGAATATTAAATGATTTAAATCTACGACTTTTTGTTTTTATTAAAAGATTTTCGCTGTTTGTATATAAGTAGATTTTATTACTGGCTACCACCTCTTCATTAATTAGAAAAACCATTTAGAAATATGTTTTAGTTATTTTTAAGTATTAAAAGGAATGGTGTTAAATATTATCAGGTAAAAATTACATTTATTATAATTTTGTTATTCTTTATCCCTAAAAGTTAACATTAATTCAAATCTTCCTTGAAAGAGAAAAAAATAATTACTTCGCACAATATCAGGTAATATTCATGTACTTTAGTTCCTGAATATCAAAATAAAGGAATCAAAATAAAATGTTATGGAATAACATAGAACAATCTTATTTCATTAATAATAGATATGAAGCTGAGAAACTAACATCTCCTTTTTACCCATTTGTAAAACTACGTAGTAATTTATAAATAGCATGTAAGAATTATTTTTAATAAATGTTTATTATATGCTTTATAAATACGTGAGATATCTATGAAGTATTAAAACGAATATAGGTATTAAAACGAATTGTTAATCAAAACTATTATTGAATCCTTTGTAAAATAAAAAGATCAGTAAAAAATTTCCTTGAAAGCTGTTTAATAGAATTATTAAGATATTATTAAGATAATAATAATAGAATTATTATTATTACAATTATTAATTTGAATGATTTTATATTCAAGGAAGCCATGATGCACAGGCAATGAATTGTTTGGTATCCATTTCCTCAAATATGATACAGCACGAATATTACTATTTTATAAGGATAAACATACTTTCCATTTTATTTGTTCAATAAACATTAAAACTGGTATGAAAGAGAGTAAATATAATATTGTCACGAACTACGTTATTGTGAACATTCACAAAAGAACGAACTTCACACGCTTTGGAACAGGATACAACATGAAAATGACACATTTTTCGCTCTTACAAAAACACTCTTAGTCCAGGTATCTCATTTCGTTTGAATAATGAAGTGCCTTGAACCAATAATTTTAGTAGCTTGGTTCGTGTTACATGAAAAAGCACAGGTATTGTTTACCAAAGACATGACTGGGGAGAACAAAGTGGTGCTCCGGGAGCTATTTTGTCACCAGGATTTAGAAGACCGAATGGCAAAAGAGTACCTTCTTTCTACAGATAACCTGGAGTCGCAGGGGCAATTGAGAGATATGAGTCACAAATGATTAGTGCTGTCCGAAATGATGAACACAAAAATCCACGAACGGTTCAAAAAGGCTGTAAGATTCCGGAAAATTGGTATGGGCAATTGTCTCTGGGTCCCCATGGATTTCGCATAGCCTGGTAGACCTTATGACCTAGATAGTTTAATTACCTTTCGTGAACTAGTATCCGTGATGACTTCTGGTACTTCACAGAGTATTTTGTATAGGCAAGTGAGCCTCATGGTCAAGGCAATCCCAATAGTTTTAATGGATCAGTATAAGAAATTGTTTTGGGGCCCCCTGGTGGTTTTGTAAGACCTAATAGAATTTCTCATGGTTTCAATGGACCGGTACCACCAATTACTTTCAGCAAACTTGAGGGTTTCGCAAGGACTGGTAAACTTCTGGATCATTTTGCTCCTAACTTATCAAGAGACAAAATTGTAATTTCCCATCTACCAGAATCTGTACCAGAGATTGTTAATAATCTTCCCAGAGGTATTTTTCAAGGTTTTAGTTTACCGGTACCTGGGACCTGCGATTCCATCAGGATACCCAGGGGTTTCCGTAGGAACTGGCGGATCTCATAGTCATGGTGGTTTTACAGGGCATCGTAGTGATATACCTCTTGCTGGGGGACATAATGAGCAGTGTATGTTGATTTCTTTGTATGAGGAATGCAAACATTTTACCATAGCCTAAAAGGTATACACAAAAATAAGAGTAAGAAATACGCATTTCGTAGTTTTTTTAAGTTTAATTAAATTAGTTTTCTTTTAGTTTTCTGTATTCCCTATTGCCATGCGAAGTATCTTTTTTTCCCATTTTAGTTTTTTATATCTTTCGTTTCTCCTTTTTATTATTATCAACAAAATATTGATATTATTAGTATGCAGATAAGGAAAATATTTTGAGATATTTCGAGAAGAGATGATTAAAATCGTACCATTACACTTATAAATGTTTTTCGATTTTTCTTTGTTGTTGAAAATTTGCTTTTTTTTGTTTTAATTAAGCTGCAATTTCATAACGTCAAATGAAAGATTATTAAAAGATAGATAATTTGTGACAATTAAATGAAACATTAAAATAAAAAAAAATACTGTTTTTCCGAATCTCACAATATACAGGGCAATATAATGTTGAGAAAGAGACGGAAAACGTTGATTGACATTGAGGAAAAACGTTATTATTGTTTAATGAATACTTAATAAAATGAATAATAACTTATGTTTCGGAAACTCTTGGTAAAGTTATCCTTTTTCGCTGTTTTATTTTATGATGATGATTCCGTATCTACTGCTGCTTTTTCTAACATGTTTTGAATAAAATTAAAAATTATAATGCAGTTAAAATGTTGTGGATCCAGTAAACAATAAAGAATCTGTAATTCAACTCAATGCAATCTTTTTAAAGGGTTTTAAATACCTCAAATGGTGAAATTGCAATAACAGTTAACTGAAATTATTCCATGTATATAACATCAATCAATCGCAATATTGACCCATAACATTAATTTATCATAAACATTGATAGAGATTAGTGTTATAGGTATCAGTTATGAGTATAGATCAGTATTATAGGTACCTATGTTTTACTAATTTTTACATACATGGTTTTAGCGATTTTTATACCAAATTAGGACTTTAAGTAACAAATGCATAAAATTTTAAAATCACATTAACAAATGAAGCTAAATATTGTGTAACAGTAATAATATTATTTTGAATTAAAATTAATGCACGCGTATTTAACATAGCAATGTTCTAACAAAACATCAAAAAAATTTCAACAATGCTAATTCCTTTTTTTTGTTATACTCGATGAGTAATGCTGAAAAAGACTATTGTTTGAGTTCCGAATTGTCACCTGTTTCTTCTATGAAAAAAATCTGTCACCACCAATAAAGCTTTGACAGCTATATCTAATTATCATCTCCTTCTCTTTCATTAAAAATCTGAAGTCATTCTCATTAATTCGACAGCTGCAATCTTACTTTTAAATTGACTTTAGGCATAGTTGTTCTAAAAGAAAATAGAACATGCCAACACAATATCCAGTCAGCATACCTGTCTATAGACCAACTAAACAAGTATTTACTTCCCATTTTGTTAAGAAAAATAAGAAAGAGCAGCCACAGATTTTCAGTTAGAAGAGCTTGTTCAAACACCATTTCTTTTAGACGATATGAAGTGTTTTGTAGCATTAGTTCTGCTGTCCAAAGTTGCTATTTTTGCAATAGCCCAAGAATCGGAAGCCGAAGGAACACGACGTGGTATGCTTGATGGCAGTGAAGAATCTGGGGATTTTATTAGAGATATATTAATTGCTTTCGAACCCATTTTGGAAAAAAGAGGTTTCAGAGAACCTCAAGAATCACATCGCCCTGGAGGTTATGAACATGGTAAACACCACGGTCGTGGTCGGCATCGCGGTCATCACCGTAGAGGGAAGACGGTGATAATGATACCATTGTATGAAGAATGCCAAAATTTTACCGCAAGCATGCAATCAATGTTTAAAGGTGAGATTAAAATGTATCGTTATAGTATTATACCGTATCGTACAGCTTTTCGTATCGTATAGATAGACATAATATTTTGTATTGTTTCGTACAGCTTTTCGTATCGTATAGATAGGCATAGAATTTCGTATTGTATCGTATCGTACAGCTTTGCGTATCGTATAGATGGACATAGTATTTCGTATCGTAGCGGATAGATTAAATTTATCGTACAGATGAAATATTTTTCATATTTCTTACAGTGTTTTTACTTGTTAGTTTCAAAAAGTATAAACTTATTTTACGTAATAATATTTTCTAACATTAACTGGAAGTCTGTTATGTTTTAACTGCATATTTGTGTAATTTCCAGAATGAGCATACCAATGCATTATGAATCCTTATTTTCTTAATGAGTATTGATCTTCTTGTATAGTGGTCAAGGAGATCATACTACCGGTCTGTATTCCTCAGGTGCGAAAGGTTCGGGGGTTCGATTCCCGCCTCGAGCATGGATGTTTTCTCTCTCTTTGTTCTATTTGCCTTTGCGATGTTTGGGATGACCTACGAAGAATGGAGAAACAAAAAAAGGGTAAAAAAAGGGTTTCTCAAAATGTGCCAAGATAGCTTCAAAACAAATGTAGTCGAATTTGAAAACCCCGGTTCGCATTAGTGAGTATAGTGATATACTCAAAACAGTTCCGAGAATCTGTCTTTTATTTGTAAATAAACATGGCATGTTGATTACCTATTTGGAAACATTATTTATTCGTGAAATAAATCTAGAATAGCGGTAAGTGCAATAAATCTTTATCTAATTAGATTTTCTCTTCGAATATTTGATAGTTATAAACTGCTAAAGTTTGAACTTAGTTACATTTGATGACCATATGTTATTTTATCATAATGTGTCATTTTTGTGATTATGCATTTTTTTTAAAAAAAAATTATTATTTGCTGTTTCAATTTTTTAGTAGATCACTATACTCAGCAATAATGAGTACATGGATTTTATAACTAGACTGTATTTGTTTCAGAGCTATTTTGACATAATTTTGTTCAATATTAAGAAACCCTTTTTTCACAGTGTTGTTGATAAAGTTGAACAAGTGTTATTTAGTTTGTATAATGGTTTTTTTTCTTTCTCTTTTAAATGCAGTAATTACTAGAAGTTGCAAACTTGCATATTGCCAGGCTTCTTGTGGTGATAAATGCACTGTCAACAGCGGTGTTTTTTTAACAATCTATTTCCTTCAAATGTATCACAAAATAAAATATTTTTATAATAATTCATGATTTGGTGCGTTATATGTTTTTTAAAAATTTTATTATGTATTTTAACGCTTATTTTAGTTGTTATTATTTCTAGTTTTCGGTGAAAAGGTGTTAAAATATATATTTTTCTTAAAGTAATTTCTTCTTTTTGGAAAATTTAATAACTTGCTAATTTACTTAATAATTTACTAACTTCTTAACAAACATTAAGCGTTCTTGGACTTATTTAAATGCGTTAAATGTTTACTATTTAAAACAATACATTGGACACATTATTGTATTTATTAATACTTCTATATGATTAATATTTTCAGAACTGTGGACAAATCGAGAAATTGGACCAAGTCAGTGTCAAGGAAATTTTGATGTAAGTAAACACAATCAATATAATAAACAAAACCTACTTTTAAAATAACATCCATTATTAATAAGCTCTAAAATAAAAATTGCCCCGTAGTGAAATAGTCGTATGAAACGATTCCCATTAGATCACCTAAATCAAGCATCACTGGTTACGGTAAGTGAGCTGGTGGGTGACCACTTTGATCAACCTGCGACGGAACCGAGGGTGTGCCGTATCGGTTCTCGTCATGCTGTTATACCTTAAGGTTATCGATTCCATGCGTAGATCATCGGGCTATAATAACGGGAGATCCCATCTTCGCTGAAGAGGATCAAAATTGTGATTGCATGTTTTTGGATCTTTCTCAGGAGTGTTTTCTTGATCAACGCCATCAACTCATTGTGCTCTAGTGTAACTTACCAAAATTATTGCTATTAAAAAAAAATAGTGCGTTGAGTCTCTCCGCGCGGCAGAAGTTAAACTTCGCAACCTGCGACGTTAATTGTAGAAGAATCAGCAGTCGTAGAAGGATCACTAGTTCTATTCAACGACTCTTTCTCCTGCTCCGCTCGCTTCCGTGCTCTGTAATCACGGTAATATTGTGCATTTTTCCCTCGTGGACCTCTTGAACCAGTGGAAGTGCTTGTGGTTGCCTCATCGTCTCGCCCTGGAAAATGTATTTGTATTAATAATGTATGTGAATGCGTCATAATGTAATTTCAGAAGAGAAAACCTAACAATCAATTGATATTCACAAGAGACGTACCTTGACATAACCTTAAATCCGTCGCATTGTCCGTGGGATTGTTTTCACTCATTTTTTACAATTGTTATCCACTAAATTTGAAAATAAAAAATACTACCCTATTAAATTATATGTGTATCAAAACAAACTAAAAAAATATTTATAGAAAAACAATACTTTTATGACTTTTATTATTTTTATGCTAGTGAGAACCAAAACAATATGGAAATGAATGAGGGAAAACTGGATCCTACCACCTGATTTACCGGCCAATAAAAATGTAGCGTTAAACTTTTAACGCAACCTTGTTGGAAGTCGCATAAGAAGTATAACTTCAATAAAAAATACGTAAGACACATCAAAAATTGACAATAAGACAGAATAAAAATCTAAATACGTGACTAACTTTTGATAAAATGATCGGATTTTTATATACTGAAATAGTCTATATATTTTAACGGATAAACCTTGAGCATGCTTATAGTTTATATGTGCGGATAGTTAGAGAAGACTGTTAGTGCAGAAGATAATTTATGTTAGAAAATCCGACTCACTTAAGTACTTTCTTGGAGTAAGAAATGTAAGTTAAGTGAGTGTTAAGTAAAGTTAAAAATTTTTTACCCAAATTTATATTTTGTTTTCATAAAATTAATTCCAAGCAAAAAGTAAGCTTTTATAACAATTTATAATAGTTTGTTATTATTTAATTTTATTATCTAATTTCTACTTCATTTCACCTATTTTTAAATGACAGTAAAATTGAAAAATTTAAACGAATTAAGTCGAATATTTCGTGTATAATAAATTCAAAAAAGTAAAAATATTTGATTAGAAGAAAATTTGTAAAATATATTTTATTCTGTTTTTAACTCTGGATATATCGTATTTTGGACAGTATCGTTTTGATTATTTTTTTTAATCGCATTGGCGTTTTTTTTATTTTTATTTTCAAGATGTTATATTTGTTTTCCCTCTTTTCTAGGAATGCGTGAAACAAGACATGGAAAAAGTTCGTTGTCGAGTAACAGAGCCACCTAGTAATCAATGCATAGAAAAAGTGACCCAGTATTTGCAAGGTGAGTTTTGTGAGGAAAGTGAAGGAAATGGTGGGACTGGAGGCTCTGGAGGAGGGAATGGTGGTTCTGGAGGTGGAAATGGAGGTTCTGGAGGAGGAGGGAATGGTGGCTCTGGAAGAGAAAATGGTGGTGGTGGAGAAGGAAATGGGGATTCTGGAGGTGAAAATGATCCATAAAAAAGCTATATCTATGAAACATTTTAGTCACAATCAGCCTTATCTAACCATTCTATATAGGGCGTATAATTTATACCTCACGTATAATGGAGGTTTGCTACATGTATAATTTATACCTCATGCACATTGGATATTAACATGGTTTACTGAGTTTTATGATATGATTTAATGAGATTAAATATTTTTTTTAATGTAACACTGCTTTCTTTTATATAGTAGTGTCTTGGTGGAATGTATTTTGTTTTATTAAAAAATTTATTTTATTATTTCATGTATTTCCTCTTTAAATATTAAATTTATTTTTCATGTGGCATATTTACATTAACAGGAAAATCATTTTAACGTGGAGCCCTCATATAGTCCCATGGGTACCTTAAACCATTTTATTGGGAAATATTGTCGTAATCTTACTGTGCTTAAGCATGTTTTCATTTAAATTTAACGATAGTAGAGTGTAATCAAATTTAAGATGGATAAATTTGAAACCATTAAATTTAGCATATCCAATAATTTGAAATGCCTACGCCCTAGGATTTGTTTTCTAACGTTGGTACCTATGGAAAGAAAATAGGATAATATTAAGGTGGCAAAAGGAAAAGCACAGTCTTCTTACTGCGAAAGAGATTTTTCAAATGTTGTTTTTATCATAAATTATTTTCTTGCTTTTGCTCGTTTTGCTTGCATTATTTTGTTACCATACCCGTTGATTTTTATATTAAAAAAACTTTCAAATTTCCATTTATATTGCTGACCACGTGAAATGGAATTTGGATAAGGATTTTTAAATACGAACAGACCTATAATTTTTGAAAATAATACTGATGACGCTTACCCGATATATCACACACTGTTACTTTTTTTATGGTTAATTGCCATTGCCCGGTATACCCCACATTAATATTTCTTTAGGTAAAGTGCCCCTGTTCAGTATACCCTACATTGATGTTTTTTAAGGTTAAGTGTCACTACCCGATATGTTTTTTTACGGTTTAATGCCTCAGTCCGGTATACATTTACCCTACACTGACATTTTTAAAAGTTAAGTGCCACTGCCTGCTATATTTTTGCTCTGCATACCCTACACTGATGCTTTTTAGGGTTAAATGCCACTGCCCGTTATAAACTTTCCCTGCTATCCTGCATTGGTGGTTTTTTTCGGGGGGGGGGAGTTGAAGCTTAACCCTTTCGCGCCGACTGTCACAAATACGTGCCAGCATAAAATCGTATCAACCAGGGTACAAAGATAAAACTGGTAATGAAAGTAATTCCTTAGCAGTTTATTTGTGCGCGGGGTTACAATTGTTTGCTTTATTTAATTCACCACTACTTATTTCGAATTAAAAATTGTATAGTTACACTTTTAACATACACGGTTTGGATGTGTTAGATTTAAAGTGAAAGCAAAAATAAATCTGCCAAATTAGCTATGTCAAAACTTAAGCTACCGCTTTTTACTTTTTACCATCCTGATACTTATTCCTTAGGAATAACATTCGTGACTCGCCCGTCCCGAAAGGGTTAATCCACCAACGGTTTAGCATAGGGACAAAATTGAACCACAATTCACGATTTCCTTATCTAATTAAATATAAAAACCAGTCGTGTTATGCGGAAAGCTCTGCAGGTTAAAATACGACATTTTGAGCACGGGGCTTTCGGTGCGTTAAGTAGCTGTTGTTGTTGTTAATTTACGTCGCACTAGAGCTGCACAATGGGCTATTGGCGACGGTCTGGGAAACATCCCGGAGGATGATCCAAAGACATGCCATCACAATTTTGATCCTCTGCGGAGGGGATGGCACCCCCGCTTCGGTAGCACGACGACCTGCGAGCGAAGTCGAGCACATTACGGTAGCACAGTTTAACGAGGACCAATACCGCACACCCTCGGTCCCTACGCAGACTGATCCAAGTGGTCACCCACCCGCCCAGTGATGCTTGACTTCGGTGATCTGCTGGGAACCGTGTCTTATCAATCAGTCCACTACGGGACGCGTTAAGTAGCACTGCCAGGTATAAACATTTTGGTGCCTATTATAGTTACCCAGATAGTTATTTTAAAACGTTCTGCTTAGTTATTAACTGCTTAAAATCCTCTCCTAATAATAATTTGTTAATTTATTATTACCTTCCTTACTTTTTATTCACTTGGAAAAATTGAAAAACCAATTCAAACGTTTCCTTAAAATAATGCAAATGGGCAGAAATGATCACTCAACTGTCATTACGTAATGATAGATGAGTAGGGAAAAGCTGGGGAAATTTCAGTACAACTTTTGCATGCACAAAACCAGGTTCCAAACTTAGAACGCAGTCATTAGAAATTTATGAAATAGTTTATGAAAAAGTAAAGAACAGTCTCGCGTTCCAAAATATAATTTAAAAAAAAAACCGATGTTAATCAGTGTGCACCTTTGCGATTCTGCAATCCCTGGTTCTCGAAAAAAGCTTTGGTTTGAGAATTACAGCTTAAAATAAATTTGAAAAATTCTGAAATTTGAATTAAAAATTAAATTTAAATTGTATTTAGAGACTCCTATTAGTTATATTCTCATCTGAAAGATATAGTCGGAAGTTTTGGAACCTATCCTCACTGTATCACTTATGCTATAATAGATATGCTATAAAATAAGTTATGAGTTTTCTTCATCTAAACTTTTGGAGATTCACTTGCCATAAAATGCAACATGCACTAATTTTCCATACGAAAAGCTGAAAAAAATTCCCAAAATATACTTATTTTTCCCCATTGCCTAGAAAACATTCCACATTCAAACATCCAGCAACCTTAATATGATGTAATGTTGAACCATATTATAGGACTTCTTAAACTTGATTTAACTCTACTATGGTACAACTGGTTCAATTCAACTCTTCTCTAAGGTTGTAGCAAGTTAACACCGTATAATCGTTCGATTATACGGTGCAAATCAATTCATCTAAGAGTGCAATGTGACCTCACCTATTTATAAAAGTTGGGTAGCTTTTATAGAGATGTCTGAGCCAGAGGCTGAACTATATCACTTGAATGGAATAAATCAATCAATTGTAAAAATTGTATCCTTAATTAAACGTTTCGTATTCCCATCTCAAAGAAACGTATTTCTTTTGGCTGCTATCTGTAACCGATTGATCAGAGAGGGATTGCCATTGGACATCTAAGTTGAGTGACTTAGACGTTGAGTCTATTCAATAAATTATGGTTGGAAAAACTGCAATCACCATAGACACATTTTGTTACACTTATCTAAACATTTGCCAAAATATACGCTTCAAAAAGTAATATTTTTTCGACTAAATAATATCATGTATATAAATAATTACAGAAAATAGGAGCATGTTAATTAAGCACAATGTAAACAAAATGCATTTTATTTCGTGATAAAAATAGCATTTATATGATTTTTTTGCAATTTTTATTTAAAAGCAATGAAAAGTAAATAAGCCAACCTATATTTAACATTGCGCTCAAAATAAATTTAAATTTGTTTTCAAAAGTTTGGTAAAGTTAGAAATGATGGAATTTCGTGAAAAAGACGCTTATGATTTCTTTGCCTTTGTTAATTTTATAACTTAATTACCGAAAATTATGTTAGCATTTTCGAATGAAGTAGTTAAATTACTATTTAATTCAGGTTTTGTTTGATAAAGTGACGCAATGTGTAATTGAAAGTTTTCTATATTTCATGTTAACAATTAATTAAAAGAATAGCAATCAATTATCATCAAACATGTAATTAAAAGATGAATTAATTATTATAAGACATAAAAATTACTATATTTGAAATTATAAGAAAGACGTGAAAAAGAAAGGCAAATATTTTCGCTTGCTCGTGAAGTTTTGATGCTCAGTTTCATTCCTTAACATATAGTATAAATTGACCAGTGAATGAACATTTACACACAGTTTGTTCTTAAAAAAATCTAAATATTTTTAAAATATGTAATTTATGGCAAATGCAATATCAAAATATTTGTTACAAAATGCAAAATACAAACTGCAAAAATAAAAGTAATTTATTAAATATTGTTTTAGGATTTGTAGGAATTCAAATAATAAAGGAATAGTGAGATAACAAAGTAAATGAACAGCTCCTACCTGTGAATAAACACAATTTTCTTTCAGCGTATGAGCACTCGATATTCCGATTATATTATGACATTTTAATGAATTACAATTTATACAAATGCCTGAAAACAACTTTTATCCTGAAATTAAACTATATAATACTATATAATATATTTAGGAAAGTTTTATCCAGTGTCACAGATTGTATATGTGTGTATCGAAAATAAAAGTCGATTAAATAGAGAAAAAAAAATCTTATACGTTGAAGTAAAAAAGTGTACTATATCAGCGACAGCAGGGAAAAAGGAAAAAATAGTTAGAAGATCGTGGAAATGTGCCTGGACGTGAGGAGAGATACGAAAAGTTTTAGAACAGAACAAAATCAGTCGTCTTGGAGATAAAGATATATGAGCAATGACGGAAAAGAGAATGATTGAGTTTTGTTTGACATAAGATGCTGTAGACAGTTGGTCTTTGTCTTACTTAAATTCTTTCTTTTTCTTTTTTTTTGTAATAAAGTTTTAAATTTGTTTCTCGTTTAATGGATTTATCTGGATCGTCACAGAACAGCTTTTTCATTGAAAAAGCTACTGTAAGCAGTAAGGTCAAGTCTGACACTAATTCTAGAATAGCAAGAAGATAGCTCAAAAACAGGTTGAAGAACATCAATAATTATACACTGCTGGCCACCGTAAATGCAACACCCTGAAGGAAGGATGCAAATAACATGAAATTTACAACATGCATCTGCAGAGGTGAGATATGCAAATGATTAGAATTTCAGAGCAGATGCACGTTACGCGCGCCTGTGGCGCCACTTCAAAACGCTATTTAAGGCTTGGAGATTTCGACAATTTCAAGTTGGGTAATTGTGTTTTTCTTGTGGTTTTTTCAAAAAACGATCAATTATGCTTCGTAGAAAACAGCGATCATCTTTTGATCAAGTATCCGAGTTCGACAGAGGAAGGATAGTGGCCTACCGAGATTATGGATTATCTTTCAGGGAAATCAGTAGTCGTGTTGGACGAAACCAAACAACTGTAATGCGGATATGTGATCGTTGGATGCTGGAGGGTACGACGTGTTNGTGACCACTTGTTTATCGATGTTTTTAACAATCAATTACTGAATAAAAACATCGATAAATAATTATGCTAATTTTTTTTTGTTATTTTCTTCATTTGTTGTCTATTGAAAACTAAAAGTAATTAACTTCGAAAATGATTATTCAGGTGACAGGTGATCCTAATTGCAATGAATTCACAAAAATTCTATAATAATTTATAGAAATGCATTTTTTATCCATATGAATGCGGAATATATATATCATTATTTTTTGTTTTAGTTTATAATTCTATTGTTGCGTTTATTGTATATATATATATATATATATATATATATATAAGTGAGTGTGATTACCTCGGACACATGTAGCATCTGTTATTTTCACAAAAAAACTCGAAGAGTTCTTGTGGGATATTGTCAACCATCTTTATCAAGGCGGCTCATCTCTTGCGCGGTTTCAAAAGGGTGTGTTCTTTATGAAATCACGTCTGTCAAGAGCAACCTATGCATACTCTATAGGATTTAGGTCCGAGGAATATGCAGGGCATTGCATATGGTCCTTACTTTCTAGTATGCCTGATTGCTCAGCTCACCTGTGTGTTCAAGCATTGTCACTCATAAGGAGAATGTCTGGACATACCACACCCCAAAAAAGACAAATATGATCCAGAATAATCTCTCTACAATACCGCTGCGAAGTAACGTTATCTCGCTCAAAGGTGTGAAGCGGTGTTCAGCTACTGAACTTGATGCCTGCACACACCGGAACGTCTAAGCCATACCAACCCCATTCATGAACCTATATGTTCCCCGCTCTCTATATACTAACTGGTAACCTCCAACCAATACGTTCCTTACACATACGTAATCTTTCTCGACGATGGAGTGGTTTGAGCAATATGCAGCGAACAGGTTTCCGTACATGACAGAATCCAACTTGATTTTGCCACCGTGTAATGGCTCTGGAAGAAACGTGTGCTCCAGTAGTGGTTGCAAGGTCTGTAGCTATCTGCCTAGGCGTGACATTTCTGTTTCTATGGTGTTCTTACAACGGCAACCAGCATGCTATCGGGTAGAATCCCCATTTTCAGCGGTCTTTTTAATCGCTAGATGACACTTTTTAACAGTCCCGTGTTCCACTATTGTGACATTTTGACCTGCCTCCAATCGTCTAACTGCTCATCCACAATCGCAAGAACTCAAATGATATCTTGCTAACATTTTGCTCTTAATTTCTGCAACACCACACTGAATTTCAAAGAAGCAAGTTCAATTCTGTTGCTATTTTGGTAAAATCCCAAACATTATGAATTTTATAATGAATGAAGAGAATGAAGGATAGCCTGGTTGGTAGGGTACTGGGCCCATGCCCAAGAGTTTGTGGGTTCGATCCCCGCAGGCCGGAGTCTCCCCGTGTACTAAATGGTGACTGATGCGCTTTAAATCAGTCGAGTCACAAAGTCCTCCATGTTCCCATAACAAATCCTACCTCTGGGGGTGCAGATTCAGGAGTTTCCTTGTCTACTGGATTGGTTCAAAATTACAAGGCTATGGATTGAACATTAGTAGTCGTAAACCCGAAATTGGGTTGGCTGTTCAACGACGGATATGAAATATAAAATAAAATACATAAATGTTAAATGTAGAAAGCCTTTTCCTGTATTAAGGCTATACACCTGAGTTTTTAAATATAATCCATTCTACTTGCATTGTGACATTTTTCGAAGAATTTTCCTTAAATTGAAATATTGACCTCAAGGTTTTTTTAATTGGGGTAGTCACGAGACATTGAAATGAATTATTTGTTATCTATTTCCTGAAACATTATAAAGCACGAATCCTAATATTTTATTAGGTTACGCATACTTTCCATTTTGTTTGTTCCTTGAAAAATAGATCCGGAAAGGAGAATAAATATGATCTGGACTATAACTAGATCATTGTGAACATTCACAAAAGAACGAACTTCACATGCTTCACAACAGGAAGTATGAAAAATGACACATTTCTTTATTCTTTTTAAGAACACTTTGTCTAGGTATCAAGCTTCATTTGAATCATGAAGTGCCTTAAGCTAACCATTTTAGTAGCTTGGCTCGTGTTACATGCAACAGCCCAAGGTATTGTTAACCAAAGACATGACTGGGGAGAGCATGGTGGTGCTCCGGGAGCTAGTTCACCACCGGCATTTGGAAGACCAAACGGCAAAGGAGAGCCTCCTGACTACAGTCAACCTGGAGGCCCAGGAGCGATTGGAGGATTTGGATCACATGTGATTAGTACTGTATCAAATGATGATCCTAAAAGTTTAAGAGGTTTCAGCGGATCAAAAGAGCCAGATGATTCTGGAAAACCGGTATCGGTAATTGCTTCTGGGTCCCCAGAGTATATTTTAGTACCTGGTGGACCTCATGGCTTAGGCAGTTCTAATAGCTTTGGTGGACCATCAGCAGCGATTGTTTCTGCTCCCCCTGGTAGTTTTCTTGGACCTAGTGGAGTTTCTAATGGTTTTGGGGGACCGGCATCATCGATTGCTTCTGGCTATGATGGGGGTTTTGTATGGTCTAGTGGACCTCCAAGTCAAAGTGGTGACTTTGGTGGATCAGTACCAGTGATCGCTCCTGGGTACCCAGGGGCTTATGCGAGATCTGGCGGACCTTATAGTCAAGGCGGATTCGCTGGGTATCAGGGTAATGGCGGTATACCTGCTACCAATGGGCATAGAGAGCAAGTAATGATGATGATTCCGTTATATGAGGAATGCAAACAGTTTACCACGTCCGTAGCATGCACATGCAAAGGTAAGAGTAAGGAAATAAACTTTATGCAAAATAATATTTTTGTGATACTTTAATTATATTTAATTACTTTAAATTTTTCTCTTTACAGTTGTTATAAAAATTATTTTTTTTGGACATTTGCTTCAAGTTCGATATTTTAATATTTCATTTGTTTTTTTTAATGCTCTCAACAAAATATTAACAATATTAGAACTGGATATAATATTTTAAGACGGATTAAATTCATACCAAATACTTATAAGATTTTTTTTTTAAATAAATAATTTTCTTCCAATTTTTTTACATCATTTTAAAGATTTTTTAAAATTTCATTTGAGACTTTTTAATTTTAATTAAGGCCTAATTTTTTATTTTAATCTAGAGTTAACTCTATAATGTGGCATAAAATTTTATTTTAGATGATGGGTGAGAGATTAAAGGAAATAAAAAAACAAAAAAAAAAAATGCAATTTTGTCAACCCCTCAATATATACTGCATTAAATTCTAAGAATGTGAGAAGATAATACATCTATTGATGAAAATTTTTATTCTTGCTTACGCTTTATTATACAGTTACAGATAAAGTTAGCTCATTTGTTGTCTTATTTATCACTATATTACTTATCATATTATAGTTACGCATTAATCGCTGCTTTTTCTAACATGTTTCTAGTGAAATTAAACATGGAGTATTATTTAAATGTTAGAAGATTTCAAAGTAGCATAATGAATTTTTAATTTAACTTAATGAAATAACATTAAAAGATAATCAATATATTAAAAGTTGATATGCAAAATGAAATAAGGGTTTGCAGAAACTGAACAATGTACATAATATAAAGTTATCACAATAGTAACCTATAACAATTTCTAATAAACATTAATTTCATAATATTGAACATGTCCCGCAGAAACTCTTCTAAGAGTTTATGAAGTGTATACATCACTCTATCATCAGAATGAAATATTTTATAATATACAAGACTTATAATTCGTAAATATCTGATATAATTAGTAAATACGAAGCTCATAAACTATTCACTACTCATCGCAGGCTTTAAAATAGAATAAAAACTACACAAAACCACAAAACAGCTATTGATGATTTTTTTGTTATTCATAGATAAACGAAATTTTATTCTTTGTGCTTTAAAACGAAATAATGTTTAATAGTTACCAATTCACTACTGAAGAATAAAATTTGATTTTAATTGATAAATGCTTACAAATGTTTCACTCGAAAGTTATAAAATAGAATAATCTTGAATATTACAACATCATCTTTGATCCCTTTTTTGTGCTTTTATTTCATAAAATGCTTTTACATTTATAATTCTCCTTGATTTTATAAACTTTGAATGCTTATCATCATGATTGTTCGAAATTCTTGAGTAATATCACCATCATCCAAATCGAATTCCTCTTTGCTCTGTATCATCCATTATTGAATTTAACAAATTGGGATTTTTGAATGAATATTTAATAGCAGATTTTGTTGATAAAATGCTTTAAAAGTTAAAAATTTCGAGGATTTTATAAATTTCGGTTGCTTAACATTGTATAAGTGGCAGGGTGGCGCAGTTGGTTTGTCGTCGGCCTTCTGAGTCCAAGTCTGCGGGTTCGATCCCCGGGCCAATCACCGGATTTTCGGGATGCAGAAAATCCTCAGCGGCCATGTCGTATGATTATGCGGCATGTAAAAGATCCCTGGAGTGCCTTATTGGCTCTTGGCATTTCCAGCAAAATTAAATTCCTAGTGCACTTTAGCATCCAAAGAGAGTCTCGGTGCTGCCATCTAGTGTGCCAGAACTAGACGTCCAAATTAACATGACCAACGGTATCTCACCCATTGTGGTGGTCCTGAAAGAGTGGATACCACCTCTGGAGAACGCACTAGGTCTGCTCATCGGCAAGACCGATTGTGCAGCTCATTAGAAATAAAAAAATAAAAGAAAACATTGTATAAACCAGCGATTCTCAACCTGTGGGCGCGCCCCCCTAGGGGGGCGCGAGCACACTAGAGGGGTGGCGCGAGAATATTCAAGAGAAAATATTATTTAAAAAAATTGATTAACTGGAAGAAAGGAAAGCGCACATACTAATAGAAAACAAAATATATTTCGACATGTTTAATAACTTATTAAAGGGAAACAACTTATTAAATCAAAACTTAAGGTGCTTTGAGGATTTTTTCTAATTTTCTGATTAAGTCTGTGTGGCTGAATTTTTTTCTGTAACATCTTACATCTATCTCTAATATATACCACGTATACTTTTAATTGTAAAATAAAATTTCATTTATTTTGTAGTTCAATTTCAAAATTGTAGCTTCTGCGCCTAAGGTTTCCCACAGGTTCCATATATTGAAATCACTTTTCCACTTACTCAAATTATCTTTAGCAAAAACACTTGGACTGGCAAACGTCTTTTTAAAAAGCACTTTAAGTGTCTTGCTGGTAGGAACAAGTTTCCCGACTTTAAGAAAGATATTTGTTTTCAGAGTGTATAATTTGTTTATTGATTTTACATTGATAGTCCTTGTGTGAAATCACTAGCGATTCTTTCGAGTTAACTCATTAGAATTAATTAAGAATTACCAAGTTAATTTTTTCAAAAGGATTAACTAACAAGTAAGAGTTAAATAACCATACTAGAGTTAACTTACCTAACCCATAACTAGTATAAAAATACCCAAATTTACAAGAAAATATCAGAATCGACCACGAAAACACTCATAACTACCACAAAAATAAAAAAATACCTGAAAAATAACTTAAAAATGCAAACAAAACAAAAAACTTGAAACAAAATATCGCAAACTCTACTAAAGTGCAAAAAAAGTCAAAATATTATAAAAATTTAAAAAATACCAAAGTTTCACATTTGCTTAAAATAAATTAAATCAATTGGCATTCAATTCAATCATTCCTTTTTGAGAAATAATATGCTACGTAATGATTTATAATTAACACTCTTATAGATTTCACGTTTTTTTCCGAAGGTGGCCCACGTGTCCCTAAGGTAGCACCGGTGTCGGGCCACCTTGGGAACATGCATATGGTCTCTCTCACCATTTGCACGACTTAAAGCTATTAATCTGATAGATTAATTCGAATTAAAGTGATGTGGTTATAGAAAAAGAAATACATTTTCAGAAAACATATCATAACTCAAAGTTCTAAGAATTTAAACACATATAAATTACAATATCTTCTCACCCGGATATTAGAATGACAACTGCAAAAATTAAATCACTTCATACAATGGAGGCCATTCAAAGAAATATCTTCCAATTAAGCCTCGTGCACCTCAGATACAAGATTTACAATGCAGCAGGGACATCTTATGATTCAAAATAAATTTAATTTTACTTTGGGGGGTGGGCTACGTTAGGAGCACTGGCCACCTTTGGCTTACCCACCTTACTTAATCAAAACATACTAAATTTTTAAAAAAAATTATTTATTTTTAGTGATTTCCTTAGGCCTGTCTTGCAGAGCAAAGTTTTTTGAGGTGAGGCTTAATATTAGAAATAGTCACTCTCAGTTTTGTTTCTATATTTAACCATGATCTATATTTTGTCTTCAAAGAAGCCACAGCAGAAAATACAGTTTCACAAAGGTAGGATATTGAAAATGGTAATAGAATGCAGAATGCCCTTGTTTTCAGTGCAGAAAAATCATCCTCCTGCCAAAATTCAAATAGTTATTTATTACTAAATTGTATTTTGGTTTCGCCACTTGTCCTGAAGTCTATGAATTTTCCTTCCTCAGCAATTGAGAGTCCTTCGGGAGTTTTATGAAATGGATTCCTAACCCACTCGTAACTTGCTATCAGTTTGTCGTCAGCAGGAAAATACTTTTTAAAATTCGTTGCCTGCATGGCTAAATGATTTTCAATGGTTACAAAAACAACTTTTGCGTGTTTTTTCGTCAGCCTCATAAGTTTTAGTACAATTATCCACATTTGCAAACATTGTTAAGTTTTTTTTCTTTAAATTTCTGCCCCACAATTCCAATTTTCTACAAAAAGCATTAACTTTATCACTCGTATCCAACATATGTGTATTTGCTCCTTGGAGTTGAAGATTCAAGTTATTTAATTTCTCGAATATGACGACCAAGTAGCTCAATTTCATCACAAATAAACAATAGTGAAAATTCTCGGTTTCCGGTCTATTATCGTCTTTTAAGAAAATGGCGATTTCTTCTCTTAATTCATAAACACGTTGCGGGAATTTCTCACGTGATAAGCATCTTGCCTCGCATTTAAATAGTAACTCTGAATGTACTGAACCCATGTCTTTACAAAGTGCGGAAAAGATTCTCGTTCTCAGGGTTCTCATTTTTATATAATTTACAACATTTACAACAGTAGTTAACAGAATATTCAAACCAGTACTCATTTCTTTCGAAACCAAAGCTTCTCTGTGGATCATGCAATGTGTCCAGACGCATTGAGGCGATTTTTGTTTTACAAGTGCTTGTATACCTTTGAACCTTCCTGATATTGAACGAGCACCATCGGTGCATATTCCGATGCAATTTTTACATTCTATGTTTGCCTCATTCATAACATCATTTAAAATAGCAAATAATGCTAGCGCTGTTGTTTTGAGTTCTATTGATTTGCAGAAAAGTAGTTCTACTACTGACATATTATCACAAAATCAAACATAGGCAATTAAATGAGCATCTTTATTAATATATGTTGCTTCATCAAACTGTATTGAAAACATTTTGTCACGCAACATCGAGAAAAGCTGACACTACATTTTCAGCTGTATCACCAATTCGACGAGCAACAGTATCATTTGAAAGAGGTATGGACTGTAATTGTTTTGAAAAATTAACTCCAAACATAGTTTCTACAATCTCAATTGCTGCTGGCTTTTACTTTACTTTTGTTTTGGCAGTTAGTTAAAAATATTTTAAAGACAGAATTCAAAATACTCAATATACATTATTGTTGTATACATTTTACTGTAAGTGGGGGGCGCGATGAAAATTATGATTGAAAACTGGGCCGCGAATACTGAAAGGTTGAGAAACGCTGGTATAAACAATTATTGTGTAACAACGTATCACCCTCATCCACGTCAAATTCCTCGTTATTTTGTATTTTAGACTGCTATTTTTAACAAATTGGAATTTTTGAATGCTTAATTGCAGACAAAATATTAAAATTTATTGGCATTATAATTTTAGAGCTTTAAATTTTTGATATCATAAATTTAGGCTTCTAAACATCAAAGTTATTAAAAATTATAAAACAAGTAATCACCCTCATCTAATGCGAATTCATATTTTCATTGTATCTTTAACTAATATTTAAAAAAAATTAATGGATTATCATAGTATTTTGTATCGTACAGCTTTTCGTATCGTATTTCCGCATTGAATTGGATAGATTAAATTTATCATACATATTATGTATTTTTCATATTTCTTACAGTGTTACTACTTGTTAGTTTAAAAAATATAAATTTATTTTAACTAATAAAATTTTCTAAAATTAACTGGGAATCTGTTCAGTTTTAACGACATATTTGTGTAATTTCTAAGATGGGCACACCAATGCACTATGGATCTTTACTTTCTTAATGAGTATTGATCTTCTTGTATAGTGGTCAAGGAGATCATACTACCGGTCTGTATTCCTCAGGAGCGAAAAGTTCGGGGTTCGAATCCCGCCTCAAGCATGGATGTTCCCTCTTTGTTCTATCTGTCTTTGTGTTGTTTGGGGAGACCTACAATGAATGGAGTCCACCTGCGAAGAATGGAGAAACAAAGAAATAAAGGTTTCTCAAAAAGTGCCAAGATAGCTCCAAAACAAATGTAGTCGAATTTGAAAACCCCGGTACGCATTAGTGAGTATAGTGATATACTCAAAACAGTTCTGAGAATCTGTCTTCATTTGTATATAAACATGGCATGTTGATTACCGATTTGGAAACATTTTTTATTCGTGAAATAAATCTAGAATAACGGTAAGTGCAGTAAACTTTTATCTAACTAGATTTTGTTTTCAAATATTTGATCATTATAAACTATTACAGTTTGAACTTAGTTACATTTGATGACCATATGTTATTTTATCATGATGTGTTAATTTTTGAGATAATGAATTTTTCTCAAAAATGAGTATATACTGTTTCAATTTTGAGTAGGTCACTATAATCAGCAATAATGAGTACATAGATTTTATGACTAGACTGCATTTGTTTCAGAGCTATTTTGACACATTTTTGCTCAGTTTTAAGAAACCCTTTTATTACAGTGTTGTGGATGAAGCTGGGCAAGTGATATTTAGTTTGTGTAAAGTTTCTTTCTTTCTTTTTTAAATGCAGCAATTACTAGAAGTTGCAAACTTGCACACTGCCAGACTACTTGTGCCGATAAATGCATAATCAACAGCTGTATTTTATTTTACAATTTATTTATTTCAAACATACCACAAAATAAAATTCTTTCATGTTAATAATTGGATGAGTTATATGTTTTTTAAAAATGTCATTATGTGTTTTAACGCACATTTTAGTTGTTATTATTTCTAGTTTCTGGTAAATGAGATGAATGTTTATTATTTAAAGCAATGCATTAGACACATTATTGTATTTATTAGTATTTCTATAAAACTAATATTTTCAGAAATGTGGGCAAATCGAGAAATTGGACCAAGTCAGTGTCAAGGAAATTTTGGTGTAAGTAAACACAATCAATATAATAAACAAAACCAACATCTAAAATAATTTAAATTATTAATAAGTTATAAAATTTGTATTTGATTAGAAGAAAAAATCAAGATGTTATATTTGTTTTCCCTTTTTTCTAGGAATGCGTAAAACAAGACATGGAAAAAGTTCGTTGTCGAGTAATAGTGGCACCTAGTAATCAATGCATAGAAAAAGTGACCCAATATATGCAAGGTGCCTCTTGTACGGAAAATGAAGGAAATGGTGGAACTGGAGGTGAAAATGGCGGCTCTGGAGGAAAAAATGGAGGTTCTGGAGGAGAAAATGGTGGTTCTGGAGGAGGAAATGGAGGTTCTGGAGGAGGAAATGGAGGTTCTGAAGGAGGAAATGGAGGTTCTGGAGGAGGAAATGGTGGTTCTGGAGCAGGAAATGGAGGTTCTGGAGGAGGGAATGGTGGTTCTGGAGGAGGAAATGGAGGTTCTGGAGGAGGAAATGGAGGTTCTGGAGAAGGGAATGGTGGTTCTGGAGCAGGAAATGGAGGTTCTGGAGGAGGGAATTGGGGCTGTGGAGGAGAAAATGGGTGCACTGGAGAGGGAAATGGGGGTTCTGGAGTTCGTAATGAACCATAAAAAAGTTATATCTACAAAACCTTTAGCTACGATCAGCCTTTTGTTACCATTCCATAGAGGGCGTATAATTTATACCTCAAGCACATTGGATAATAACATGGTATACTGCAATTTATGATATGATATAATGAGATTAAATATTTTTTTCTAATATAACACTACAATCTTTTATATAGTAGTGTCTTGGTGGAATGTATTTTGTTTCATTAAAAAATTTATTTTATTACTTCATGTAATTCGTTTTTAAATATTAAATTAATTTTTAATGTGGCCTATTTACATTAACAGGAAAATCATTTTAACGTGGAACCCTCACATAGTCCCATAGGTACCTTAAACCATTTTATTGGTAAATATTGTCGCAACCTTACTGAACTTAGAGCAGGTTTTCATTTAAATTTAGCGATAGTATAGTGTAATCAAATTTAAGATGGAAAAATTTGAATGAGAATATATGGTTGAATTTGACAATATATTAAGATTGCAGCAAATTTGCACGATATTATGTTTCTAACTGTGCAGAAAAAATATATTTTGATACACATTCCAAACTTCAAAAATAAAAAGGAAAGAAGAAGAGCCTATACTTATTACCAAGCCGAGTAACATCACACAGGTTTTACATGTTAAAAAGTTTTAAATCTTTTGAGGATGTTTGTACTAGATATTCAAAATTCAAAGAAATTTAATATTCAGTCTATAAAAAAAGCTGTGTTATTCGTAAATTTAGAATGGAAAGATGGCGCATTTTTTAAAATATAAAGAATAACCCTATGAAGACGTATAACTACCTGAGTAAATTTAGCATATCAAATAATTTGAAATGCCTTGGGTTTGTTTCCTAAAGTTGGTACTTAGAGAAAAAAAAAAGGTAGTATGACGGGGCTTAGTGAAAAGGGAAAAACGCAGTCTTCTTACTACGAAAAGGATTTTTCAAATGTTGTTTCTATCATAAATTATTTGCTTGCTTTTGCTCGTTTTGTTTTTATTACTTTGTTATTATACCTGTTGAGTTTTATATAAAAAAAAAACTTTTATATTGCTGACCACGTGAAATTGAATTTGGATAATGATTTTTAAATACGAACAGACCTATAATTTTTGAAAATAATACTGATGACAGGGAACATATTGTGGACGGTTTACGCTTTCCCGATATATCATACACTATTATTTTTTAAGACTAATTGCCATTTCCCGGTATATCCTACATTAATGTTTTTCATGGTAAAATACCCCTGTTCAGTATACCCTTCACTGATGTTTTCAAAAGTTAGGAACCACTGCCTGCTATATTTTCGCTATGATTGAAAAGAGAATGATTGAGTTTTGTTTGACATAAGATGCAGTAGACATAGTCTTTGTCATAGCTAAATTCTTTTTTTTTGTAATAAAGTTTTAAATTTGTTTCTTGATTAATGGATTCCCCTGGATCGTCACAGAACAGCTTTTTCATTGAAAAAGTTACTGTAAACCGCAAGGTCAAGTCTGACACTGATTCTAGAATAACAAGAAGCAAAAATAGGTTGAGGAACATCAATAATTATCTTTTTATAAAAAAAAATTAATTCGTAAATAAATACCAAATTTTGCCATTATGTAGAGTCCATTTATAGTAAAATCTTGTTGGTTACACATGTGGGGAATTGACTATAGACTATGTAAACCTTCAATCAAATGATACCCCACGATATAATCGAGTGAATATGTTTTATGTGCTAGTAAATTGGTATTTAATAATTGTAGCGGTAGACACTTTACACACATTTCCTTACCTAATACATATTTAATTTTAATTTCTTTTCTTTAATTTAATTCCTTAATTTTACTTTTCAAGATACGTCAAATTTCTTAAAACTGAATCAGTTTCTACAAGGTTTGTCTTTTAAATTTACTCAGTGTTAAACTGAGTTATCGTCTTAAAATGATTCACCTACTTCTCATCAGAACAACTTCCTGAGAGTCTTTCTTCTAATTTCTAAGCATAAAACATTGTATAGCCAGCAATTTTCAAGTCGTTCACAAGCTTATGAAATCCTGTTTTTGATTTCTATTTATTGAATTTTCTAATGACAGTACCACAAAAAATGCCTGTACTTATAATGGTCCTAATTTGCTTGCCTTTACTTGTTATCATCCTAAATTTTGTTAACAAGTTTTGCTTTCGGAGCATGAAACTGAACAGATGTTGTTTAGATTGAGTTGTTGTGACCTCGAAGCTTCAATGAAACGTTGTCAAGATCGGTTTCTGAATAACTAAATTTCTCATACTTCTCTTTTAGTGAACATCGCTAATCGAAAGGTAATATTTGTCTCAAATTATAATCCTAAATAGAAAAGTTATAAAAATAATATCTTATTATAAAATAATATCTAAATAGCTCAGTACAAAATACAATCTACACCATTAGTTTCAAGCAAATGTACATAACTAAAAGCCATGTAAAATCATATTATATGCACACTATTCATTCACTGGGAGATTTGCTTCCAGTGAAAGAATATGCATTTTCAGTCGCTGGTTAGAAGATGTATGTCTTATTTATATTACCATGGAAAAATCCTGGTGAATGAACATTTTGTCCATTCATTGGTTTTTTATCATTTGATAAGTTTGATAATAAACACCTCCTAATCTTAGTATTGGCTTATGCTATGATGCTTAGAAAACTCTTACGTAACTTCAATAATCTTTTGATTTTTCTTTTTCACAGTGAGAAAAAAATCTATTACACACAACTAGTTCTAATTTAAACAGATAACTACACACACTCACTTTATAATTTTGTCAAAGAAATAAGGTGCTACGTAGACACTAACAAATTTCAAAACTTTCCCTGCGAAGACCATGTGACCAGGTACTTCAATAAACTGTCATATGGCTTCCTATTGTTATGCAGTAAGTTACTGTTGCCAATCAATCAAAAGAATAACTTTTAAACTATCATTTTTTAAAAACAATAATGAAATGTTCTTTCACTGATTGGTTTACCCAACTTACATATTTTTGACGCACAAGTTTTGCTTACATTTGTTGCAGAAGTGCTTTAAATAGAATTGTTCTGTTAATTACGGTATATCGGGAACCAATAAAATTAATATTTTAGAGTTAAGTTTTGATGATTTTCATTTTTTATTATGTCTCTGACAGTTAGAAAAAAATAATTAAATAAACAGATAAATAAGTAAACAAAAAAATAATAAATTAATAATACACCCGGCTGTATCATTTTGAATACTTTTTAGTGAGACTTTTAAGTAGGAAAAAAAATTATGGTTGGTATTGCCGTGTTAGTTCTGACGTTTTAATTTTTATTCTGAAACTTTTTCTTAAATAAAAAAGAAGAAAAGTTAAAAAAAAAAATTAAATAAAAAAGGAAAAGGAAAAAAATCACTACGCATACGAATTTTAGTAGTTTTGACCCCTCTCCGCAGTGCTACTAAATATTAAAAACAATTAAAGTTGGCTTTCTTCCGTTTAACAGAAAGTTATAAGTTCTTAAAACAATAAAAAAAAGAAGAAAAGAGAGCACGGTCAGAAAAAAAGAAAGAAGGGAGACAAAGAGAGATAGAATGAAAACTTTTACTCATTAAAAAATTTAAATAAATTAAATAAAATAAAAATAATACTTTTTGCACGTGATATACTAATATGAAGCATTTTAACTTCTCCTACAGTTTAGCTGTAAAAAATAAAGAGTTAATAGGTATTATGTGCTCCTGGATTAAAAACGAAATTTTAATCCCTATATTTCGACTGCAACTTGCTATCCGTATTTTTAAACTAGTCTTCAACAGTTATGACTAGTTAAGACTAATTTATAAACTATATATATAAACTAGTATACTGGAGAGTTCATAAGTTTAATATAATACTTCCTATTTATTTTAGGAATATCGATTTAAACACAACGGAAAGACCATTTTAAATAATTCTTTGGTCAAATGGTTTACGCTTCAAATAATAATAATAAATTCTCATTATTAAAAGTTTAGCTCGTTTGAATGCTCAACAGTTTAAAAAATAATCTAGGCAAGTATTACAAATTGTCACTTTCTTTGTTTGAAAATACTTTAAATGAAGCAACAAAAAAATACAGCGTTTTTAAATTAATTGTTTCTCAAAAAACTTGCAAACTAGTTACACAAAAGCAATTATTTATGAATAAATCTGTCTTTTAAAGTACGTAATTTGATCTGCACCGCGACCCCCCTAGGCTTTTATTAAAGCCCCAACACCTCGCACTTAGCAGAGCCACAAAATAAAATGCCTTAGGAGATTCAAGCTCATTTATCCGAACTTTCTCATTAAATGCGGATTACTGATATTTGGATAAATCTTTTAGTTAAAGTTTTCAAGTTAAATGGATAGTTTATTGATTTTTGTTCGTCCTTGAGACGAATCGTTTTAACTTTGATTTGAAAAGCAGCATTAGAATTCATTTATGATTTCAAACACAGTTTAAACAGTTTTAAGTTTGTTTAAAACTATTTATTGTAATCGTGGTGTGGACTAAACTGATTCTTCTAAAAAATTTTGAGTATTTATTTCTTCACTACTATTTTTTTTAAAAAAATTACACTTTTCATCTGAAACAAGTTTCAAATAAATTTCGATTTGCAAAAAATTATTAAAAATTCGAAAGTTGTCCTCCATTATGTTATTGATAAATATGCTCATACCGTGAGTCAATAAATCCTTCATAAAAATTTTGAGTATTTATTTCTTGAAACAATTTGTTATTTTCTAAAAAAGTAACGTCCACTTTGAAATCTTAAAAAAGTTTCAAATGCAAAAAATTTAAAAAATTCACAAAGCGTCCTTCATTATGTTAACCATATATATATGCTCTTAACGTGGCATGATTTTTAGACTAAACAGATGCTTCCTAAAAGTTTTTAGTAGTTATTTATACACCAATATGAACATTTTTAAAATAATTGATTGAAAGAGCATACATATAAAAATAAAGAAGGACACTTTGCAAATATTTTATAACTTTTTCCAATGAGAAATTCAATTGAAACTTAATTCAGATTACAAAGCAAGGGCCAAATTATTCAAAAAATACCCATAGATGTGAAGAAATACATAGGGGAGAGGGGGGCACATGTGAACAGGGGGCACATGTGAACATGGTATGTTTTACCAATATGATTTGAAATAAAAAATCTTAAAAATTTTTCAATTGATGGCAGTACTAGTCCTACCTCTTTGCAAAACTTTCAGA